GCCACCTCCGGCGCCGGCGCCGCGCCCGCCCTCCGGTGGCACGCAGTCCGGGTCGGTCAGGTCGGCAGCGGCTGCCTGGCGGGCCGGTAGCTGGGGGCGCGCCGGCTCGGTACCGGCGCCGGACGCCGGACGGCCTCCAGCCGAGGGGCCGGCGTACTCCGGGAACAGACTGGCGGCGGGCGCCGGCGCCGCCGCCGCCACCGGAGCGCTGCTCGTCTGATACGACCCGCTGCTGGGCGAGAAACGCACCGTCTCTGCCGGGAACCGGCTGGGTGGTCTTGGGCTGGCCGGCAGGCTGTGTGCGTCTGACCCGTGCTGGCTGCGGACCTGGCCGTTGTGGACGCGTGACGCTGCCACGTGGGCCGGTAACTGCCCAGTATAAGACAGGTACTTCGTAACGTTGTGCGGTAACGGCGATGGATTGGGCGGAAACAGCGTTGAATGGGATGGAGATCGCGTCTCAGTCGGTGGCAGCTTGTGCTGGCTTCAGCGGACGCTGCGCCGTATTGGGCGGAAAGCCGCACATTGGGCGGGAAATGCCACTACGTTGTTCGAATACTGCAGTACGTCTGTTGGGGATAGCACTCCACTTGTTTGAAACAGAGATGCGTCCGGCGGTCCTGCCGAGTCGATCTGTGCCGGGCCGACGTGCTGCGGTGGTCCGCTGATGACATGTGGCGGCGGGCCGCTGGTGACCAATGTGGCGGCGGGCCGCTGACGACATGTGGCGGCGGGCCGCTGACGACATGTGGCGGCGGACCGCTGACGACATGTGGGCCGGCGGGCCGCTGACGACATGTGGGCGGCGGCCGCTGACGACATGTGGCGCGGACCGCTGACGACATGTGGCGGCGGACCGCTGACGACATGTGGCGGGGCCGCTGACGACATGTGGCGGCGGGCCGCTGACGACATGTGGGCGGACCGCTGACGACATGTGGCGGCGGGCCGCTGACGACATGTGGCGCGACCGCTGACACATGTGGCGGCGGACCGCTGACGACATGTGGCGGCGGCCGCCGACGACATGTGGCGGCGGGCCGCTGGCAATATGTGGCGGTGGTCCGCTGGTGACATGTGGCGGCGGGCCGCTGGTGACATGTGGCGGCGGTCCGGTTGTGACCTGCGTTGGTGGACCGCTGGTAACATGTGGCGGTCCGCTGGTGACATGTGTCGGTGGTCCGGTTGTGACCTGCGTTGGCGGGCCGCTTGTGACCTGCGTTGGCGGGCCGCCGCCAGAGGTGGAGCCTGCGCCGGCCGGTTCCACAGCGTCCGCAGACACCGTCCTGCAGCCGCCGTCCTCCAGCCGCCGCGGCAGCTCTGGGATCGCCGCCGATGTGGCGGTGGTGGCGGTGGCGGTGGGGCCCTGGCGGCCGCGGCCCCGCCTGCCCGGCTCGTACTGAGTCGGCGGGGCGAACTCTGGCCTCCGATCCTGCCGCTGCTGCTCCACCCACTGTTCCTGGGTCAGCACTGCGGCACAGGGCGGGCACCACGTCATAGGCAATACCACACTACAAGACCATAGGCACCTGCGACGCTTCTGATCTACCAAGAGTGTCCCTGCCTGTGCGCAGAGTATTTCACAGTTCGTACTGCGGTGGTCGGAAACACATGCTACAAAATACTTAAATAATCTGTTGATCATCATCTTATCATCTAGCTTGCCTGTGATGACTCAAATACGCAATTAAACGTTAGAAACGCATGACCCGGTCGAAGTGGCACAAATCTGGGGTTCACGCACACACGCAGCGTTCCAAACGCGTCATTTTGAGACGATATAGCACTGGTATGCCTGTCCGGCACCTACGAAAACGTGGTGAATGAGTGTCAGCAATCCCTGCGACTGGGTACTCCAGACTGGTAAACTGGAAGGGTACTTAAGAGCCAGTAAACTCGCAGGGACAACAAAATGACATCCACTTTGAAGGCCGATGGCAAGACATGTACACGGGAGCCACTCACGTGGCCTTTTGGAGACGCCCTCCTTTCCAAGATCCCATTCTCGGATAAACTTCTGCCTTTCCTCCTCCCGTCTGTCTTGCTTCCGCCTTCTTGTCCAGCTCTCTTGCGTCGGTACGGCGGGAGCAGCCACCGGAGCTGGCGTTTCGTCTTCATCTGCTGACTGTTCCCTTTCCAGCGCATCTGGAAAAGGGGACACTCCGTCAGCCGCCAGCGCCCCCCCCCCCCCCCCCCTGGAAAAACGACATCCAACGCGCCCCTGACATGCCCAAGTCACAAAAAACTAACACGCGTGGATTGCACTTGATAACGGTTGCCTGCTTACCCTGGTAGTCAATTTCCTTTGTTGCACCCGCGCTGCGCTCAAGCCAACGACAGAGGTGTCTGCACGCGCTTCGCGCGAAAGCGTGCGACAGCCTGCCGGCGGATACCATGGACTCTGGACTATTCAAACGTGGCTTGACAAGTAGCCCGGCGGATGCCATGGACTCTGGACCGTTCAAACGTGGGTGGACAATAAGCGCAACGGGTGCGATGAACCCTGGACCGTTCAAACGTGACTTACAACTAGCCCAGCGCGCCTGTGCAAAGACGGATGATTCAACAGGGAGGGTGGGGAAAGAACCATGCATAGGCGAGTGGTTGGCTGGCGCAACTGACAATATGGTCAATCGTCTTGTTTCATCAATAATGAAACGTTGCCATAAAACGGCGACGATCCTTGCACTACGAGGAGTAAGCATGCCTGCTGCGGAGTCGTTAACACGCTGAGGTGTGTGTGTGTGTGTGGGGGGGGGGGTCAATTTGCCGCCCCCCCCCCTCCCGAGGGTATTTCCGGAGTGATTTCCGAACAGCGCGGGGTAGCCGCGCCCAATTTTGCATAGCTGTATGCAATTGAATAGCGAATCGTTTGGTATCAAAAATTCATACGTACCTTGTAAGGTCACTGACCTACGGCATGTCAACATCAAGGCATGGATTCGGCGAAGTCAATTTCTAGGGAGTCGTTCAATCTGATGCGACAACGGAGTGATAGACAAGCTATGCGTCTCTAAGATACTTTTTATTAGGCAACCACAATGGAATAAACAGATTCCAGTGACCTAAGATTAGGTATGAATGTCAGACCAGGGTCAAAACCAACCTGTTTTATTACTCTAGGGCTTGCTGTACGGAGTAATTTCTGGTGCTCACTTCAAAGCTTCTGCTAACAGGAACCACATTATACACTTTTCATGAACTTCTTTGAGGCCAGAATAGCTTACTTACCTAAAATGACCCACGTCAACAATTTGTTTCACAACATACTGCCTAGAGCCATCTTTGTCGCTTATTCAGGTGCAAGACTAAAAGCAGACTTGTATGATTTTGGTCACTATAGCCGTCAAGCGGTCAAACAAGGTTACTGCCCCTACATGAGCATGCAACCTTTTGCTTAGAACACGTGTCTAAGTTCTGGGGGCGCTTTGGGCACCAACCTGGAGTTTGGCCTTGTCTGACCTTTTTGACCCGAAGGTCATGACCTGGGAACCACGGTTTGACCCAAGTGAGTTCACGTACAGGCCCACACATCCTTTGAATTTTGTGTCTCTAGCTCTTAGTTTCTGAGATCTCAGGGGGTTTGAACTGATCCCCAGCCCAGCGAAGGGTATCCACCGGCAACCCGAACACGTGTCGAGGAGTTAGTAGTCAGTGTCAGGTCAGTGTACATCAAAAATAGTCGAGTCAGGCTGGTTTGTTATACCATAGGCCAACACCTATGGTCTGTTACGTCCAGGTTTCGAAATCTCCCGCCGAAAGTCGCAAATGAGTTGAC